CACAATTTTGTCATCTGTAAAATGCCTGCTGGATTAGATGATCCCTGAGGTCCTTCTCAGCTCTCCCATTACATAAGTCCATCATCCTACCTGAAAACACTAGCACATTTAAAGTCTATGAAGTTTAATGAAAATGAAAATTACACTTCCCTTCAGAGAATATGATTCAGGAGTGGAAGGATTAGCATATTTTTCAATGATCTCCTTATTTTTTTCCTGCACTTCACATCGATGGTTTATATTAATAAAGGTTATTAATACTTCTAAGCCTAAAGACCATTTAATGAATGAGTGAAGTGGTTCATACAAAAAGTAGAAGTTGGGGTGGTAGGAACTCACGCAACAGCAGGTTAAAAGGGATTTACCAATGACTTTTGTAAAGTATTACTGGATTAGACATCTAGCTCTCAGTGGTATAAAAATCTATAAAAACCTATCTCCTCCAGGTACTATAACTGTAAGATCATGTGCTGGTATTTTTGTTTTTAACACACCTACTATAATGCACACACACTCCCTTGTCCACTTCAGAATGGTCATCTGGGAGCTTAGACAAGGCCGTTACTCCCAATGCTTTGGATTGCCTCTTTTAGCTTCGCTTTGAGAAGTGGACAGAAGCAGGAGAACACTGTGTGCAGTAACAGCAATCATGTATGAGGATCAGGTGTGAATGCCTTAGCTACTCTCAGTAATAAAATGATCCAAGAATGCCAAATGCTATCCACCTCCAGAGAAAGAACCGATGGTACCTGAATGAAGATTGAAGCGTACTATTTACTTTTTTTATTCATGGTTTTTTGATCTGCATTTTCTTTTGTAACATGGATAATATGGAAATGATTTGCATGACTGCGCATGTATAATCTATATCAAATTGCTTGCCTTTTCAAGGAGGGGGCAGGGGAGGGAAGGAGGCCAAAAATTCTTGGAATTCAAAATTTTAAAAAAAGAATGTTAAAATTTTGTATTTACATGTAATTGAGAAAAAATTTTAAGCCCAAAAATAAAAAATTAAAAAAAAAACTCACTTAAGTAAAACAAAAGATTTGCTTTGAGAATCAGAAAAAATGTTTACTCATGACAGAGAGGCAGTATGATAGAGTAGAAAGAACCCTAAATTTGGAGCCAGAGAACCTGGGCTAAAACTGTGGTCTAAGAGGTAAGTTGGTCAACCTCCCTGGGCACCAGTTTCTTCATCTGGTTGACTTAGAGCTGGAAAGAACTGAAAGGCCATCCAATCCAACTCCTCATTTTATAGATGAGATACAGAGAGATGAAGCAATTGTCCCAGGGTTATACAGCTACTAAAGGTGTGAGCTAGGATTTGAACCCAGGTCTTCCTAATTCTAAGTCCATTATACACATGGCCCCTTGTGGCCTGCCACATTCCTGAGTGCTACAATAGAATGTGGCTAATGTTAATATATGGTTTTCTAAGTCAATATTCACAGAATCCTTAATTAGCAGCCATTGTTCCTACTTGAATTTGACACCACCGCATTCCATCATGCTGCCTGACTCCCCTCTTAGACAGTCAAGTGCCTGTGACATTACATCTGGCACGAAGAGACAGGCTATATTCATGGCGGTTATTCATTTTAGAGAAAACTTGTTAAACATTTTCAGTATTGATAATTCCAGGACCTATGCCTTTAATTTATAGTGAAAGTATTGACTTATGCCAGAGTGCCATTGACATTAAACCCATCCAACTTCGCTAATAGTTTGCCAAAAAATTACAGACCTGATGGCAACTATTTGCTGGTCGACAAAGGAACATTTTCTTGAGTGACCCCCTATTAAGCTGGCTAACGGCATACCTTATAATAAAGAGGAAGCATAACGTACTTACTGCCTACTAGAAGCAGCACAGTCCCCAACCATTAAGACAGATAGCATGTAAACATGTCAACACACAGATAACCCTTATGAGAAAAGCAGACACAAAGATTCCCCAGCCAAGCCCCCTTCAATAAAACAGGCAGCTGCTAAACTTCCTGACTTCAAAGGAAGTTATCATTAGGAGTCCCCCAGTCGATTAATTATTGGGACAACAGTAGCTTCCTTTCTATATCTGGATCTCCCCCCCCCAATTTAAAATACAGATGTATACTAAACAAAGGCAAAAAAAAAAGTGATACTGTGACACACACATATATATATATATATACACACACACACATATATAGCTATATTTAATTAAACTACTTACAATTTTGCTGGATTGAAGTGAAAGTCAGTTTCAAGGTCATTTCCTTGAAGCCGACAATTGATTTTTTTCCCTGTAGCTTTACTGAAAGATGTTCTTAGTCTCTTGGCCAATGTTTTTGGTGCATTTGCTAGAGACGACTCATCAGCACAGCAACTGTAGACCTCTACCTTTACCTGAAAGTCTGGCCTTGCTTCATTACTAAAAACAAACACATGCATAACTTTAGCAGTTTCAGTCAGTTAAAAAAAAAAATGGAAAAATGACATAAAAGGCTATTGATAAGAGCCAAGAAATTTCTCATTGATGTTTTCTTAACAGATACTCTAAATCAACATTTGAGATTGGCTTATGTTAATATATGTTAATGAGTCAGATTCTCAAAGTCCTTATTATTTAGTACCTTAATAACATGAGTTATTGAAATTTTTGGAGTTTCCAAGGAATAGCTTACACAGTGAGTACCTTAGTTCAGAATAGATGCTCAAAAAATAAAAAAAAACCTACAAAATTGTAAATGGTCTGGGTAATTTGTTTTTCCCATGTTATTATTTCTCTTTGTCATTTTTATCACAGACATACTTTTAACGTATTTACATTAAATACATCATTTCCTGAAGTGACTTTATTGCTACAACACACTGTCTTTTGCTGAAAGATCCTGTGTCAATATCCCCCTCACAAGGGCTCATTTGTAGTTTTCTCCCTAAAGCCTGCCATGTTGGCAAGATTGTCCATGCCCAACCCAGCCGGCCCCTGGCCCCTGGCTACAATTCATATTTCATTATTTGGTTTAATTTGGGGTGCTCACAGGGTAGGTATACACATCCTAGAGGATGACATCATAAACCACAGAAATATGCTGAGGCCACTTTGGCCCACTCCAGATAACCTTTTCCATGACACCAGCCCCTTTACAACAGAAAAGTATAGTGTTTATAACCAACAAGAAAATGTACTTAGGACCTAAATAAGTGGATCATCAGCAGCAGATGCTGCCTGCAGATGGAAAAATGAAAAGCCTTAGAGACTTTAAAAATGCAGCTTTAGCCTTTTAAGATTTAAATGAACAATCTATAGTTTGGATAAACCCAAGAAATCACTTCCAGATATTTCTGTAGTTTATTATTTGGCAACTTTTAAACATACAGTATTCCTAGTAATGACTAACAAATGTCAATATTTAGAGGAAAAACAGAGATTCATAAATACTGAATTCTTATTAAAAGAAACAATTATCATAACAAAAAGCACATTCTAAAAAAGCATTTTAAACATTTGTCAGGATTTATTTTTTAAACAATTTAAAATATTTACCAGGATGATTGTTAGTATGCTTTTTTTTTTCCAAAATAACTCTTAATTTGCTTCTTTTCCTACAAAAGATTCTGACTTGAGTTTTCAGAGCAAAAAAAAAAAAAAAGTTTAGTGGCTATCTCACCACATTAGCAAAATATAATGAATCTCAGGATAATTCTGGCCTTAAAAGATGATAAGAAAATAATCTCAGGTAACCTGAAAGAAGATACTTAAGTGCTCCTCAACTTCCAGGCTATTTTTAGGAGAGTATTTTTCAAGGCCTGATCTGTCCAGGTAACGCCTTTGGTATTCACAGACACAACCTGGGTCACACCCATTTTTGCTACTGATTGGCAATAATGTGTTATTTCTGTGTTTTGAATTCTCTGTGTGTAAAATATAATACAGAAAGAGGATTAAAGGCCCTACAAGTTACCATTAGGACACTTGACCTTAGGACCACACATGCTGGGCCGAGTTAGCCCGTGGTCATCTTAAACACAGCAAAATCGCGTGCAATGCACAGAGCTCAAGCAAAACTTGGGTGTCCGTCTTGCCTCTTTCACTGACTATCTCTGCAATCGTAAGGGAACTCCCTTAACCTCTCAGCCTTAGTATATGAATCTGTAAAATGGGGATGATAATGCCTGTAATCAAACAAGATGGTGCCTATCACTTTGGAGAACTGTGAACTATTGTCATTCTCTAGCTCCACAGACAGCAGAGGAGAAGAGCATAAGGCCAGATTGCTAACAGCCTTTTGGGATTCTAGGAATAAATAGGAATCACATAGTGATGGGGGCTAAGAGGATCTAAAAGGGGACAGAAAAGCCTTTTGGTCAACAGTAATTTTTAAGCTTACAAAAGGCAGCCTATCTGGTCTATATTTTGACAACAACAAACCTGTGAAACAAACCTGAGCATCACAATTCTATTTTATTCTTTTGTAGTACTGGAGGCAAAAGGATCGACAGGGAGAAGTCAGTAGATCTCAAGGGGCTGTTGTCCCCCTATTTCGGCATCGTTGTGGAGGCAAGCTTACCTAATAATAATAATGATAGCCTCCTTGTTTGGGATTCAAGATGCACCTCCGTTAGACCAAAGGTGACTTATTTTTATGAACTTCTAAAGAAGGTATAATTTAATTATGGGACTAGATCTAGAAACTGAACCCTTATTAATTTTATAAACACTGGTCCAACTCAATAAAACTTTAAATATTCATTGTTTCCATTCATCCACATAAAGGATTTTACATTCAAATTTTTAAAAATTGTCTTAAATTAAATGTAGAGATGTATTCTCTCTGTAGTCATGTTATTTTCAAATTCACTTCACAGCATGTGTTCTACCTGAAAAGTATTTAAGCAGTTGAAATAAAATGTCTTATTGCCTCCCAAATAATTCAAAATCTGAATTCTTAAGTCACGTGCTATTATGCCTTCTTTAATAAGAGATTAGCCTGTCTTTAGTCTTGGAAGACGAAAAATACTCACAATATAGTTAGATTTTCAAAACATATGTCAGTGATTGTTTTATCAGCAATCACCATGTCAGTGTCAAAAATTTCAGCTCCCATTTTGAACAAACAAAAAATGGCATAGCGCTGTGATCCTAAAAAAAAAAAAAAAAAAAATTTTAGCAAATGAAGCTAAATCCAATAAGCTTGTCCTTTAAGTATGATAAACAATTTAAAGATGCAAGTAGAAATCGAAGGCATTATCCCCAAAAGTTCTTATTTTCATAAATAATACAATACAAGCAAGCCCCCAATTTATGTAAAGGGTGTGTGCTAAAGTTTCTATGTTTGAAACTTAAAGCACATTTTCCCACAGAATCAATGTTATAGGTGGCAGGTAGATTGGAGGAGTACTAAGGTTGAGTCTTTGACAAGGACTCATTGGGAATTCAGGGAAAGATCCAGCTTGTCCTTGGCAGTTATTTCACGGCATGTTCTCCAGGGAAGAATGGAAAGAGGTGGAGTAGAAGGTTGGTGATGCTTCTAGGAAGTAGCAGGGGTGTAGAAGGTAAGAATGAGCAGCAACACTGACATGCTTCCTTCTCACCAGAGCCAGGCCCTCTTCTAGAGCTAAGGGAGAAGTAGTGGGAACAAGGCTGTAGTGAGGGGCAGGTATCAAAGAAGGAAAGGGGAGAAAAGACAATGACAGAAATCAACAGGAGAGAAGTTCCTCTGGTCAGTGGAACTATGTAACGGATGAACGTTCTAAGCATGAGGGGCATATGTAATCTAATTGAATATTGCCTGTATCATATTTCACATTTTATCTTGAATTTGTCTAGCAGCTCCATCAATACATAGAAGCGCCTCACCTTTCTGGAACTTAACTATTCCATAACTTCATCTAACTGGAACACGGCTGAAAATCAGTCAAGTAAACAAGAGATCACTAAGCTGCCAAGATTGATGTTACAAAGTCCATGAACCAATAAAATACTCATGTATTTTACTCCCAGGAGAGTCACTCTGCTAGCACTCTCCTCACTTCAGACCTGTTTATGCTGATTTGGACATAATTTCAACAAGCTGAGTTATCTGGTTTCTAAACACACATAGAGGAGATTTGATGTAGCAAATCAGAAGGGAGATTTTGCTGTAATCATTGGAAAGATGATCTTCCACTTTGACACATGCTTCTTTCTAAAGGTGCCTATAACTGCTTAAAGGGAATAGAAAACTAAGCAAATTTTAGACGTTCCATGCAAAATTAATCACGCTTAATGTGATCCAGTTATTAAAGAAATATCAATCAGTTGAAAAATATGCTAATATAATATAGAAGAAAAAGTGAACTAGATAAAAGATCTTTTTTTTTTTCCTTGTGGGCTTTCTGAACTCATTGACAACAAAGGTGAATGCTACGTTGGATAACAGCTGGAAATGATTTGGGGTTAATCTCCATGACCTTGGAAAGTACATGAATTTGTAAAAACCATCCAAGACGCCATGAAATGTTGAAATTCAGAGACTAAACTGCAGATTCTTTCCCTACCCTGTGCTACATATTCTGAAATATTGGAATGAGTTATAAATAAGTAAAGCGGCAGTAAAGTATTTCTAGCTGCCAGTCCAATTATAAATATCAACTTTCTCCCTTCTCATGACTTCTCTCCTATTTACTTTAACCATAACTATAGCTTTGCACATTTTCTCAGCAACAACCAAAAATATACTAGATATGCATAATCCTAATTGGTGGGAAGTTACAACTGAGAGACAGTATCAGTCTGTTAAATAATTCAGCAAAATTCTTTCAATTAATCAAATGATATCTGCATCTTGTAGAAACAGACTGGCTTTCAATAATCCCACGTTTGATTTAAACTAAGAAAATTTTTACACATACCTTCTTTATTACTGAAATGATCAGAGTCTTTCCACATTAATGGTATTCGAATATCTAGAGGGGAAAAAAAAAAGAAATGACTATGTGTAATAATTTTCTTCCAGACTACATACCTTGAAGTAATCTTAGCCTGTGAATTCCATAATGGATACTGACTACTAATGCCAGAAGAAAGTTTATTATTTAAATATCCCAGTATGAGCTACCATTTTGCTTTTTTAAAGTGTTAAGTTAGAAACTTTAAATCCTATAGGCCTTTAATATTAATGAAAGATTACTAAAAACAACATGTCTCTTATTCAGGAAAGAACTATAATAAATTTACAATGTAACATTTGCATTTTGTGATATTCTATACTCGAAAAGTAGATCAGCTATGGGAAAACCTTTTCACTGAATTTCTATTTTGTGTAGGCATCAATAACATATAATGGAATGTAAAGGGCAGCAATATATGATTTCATAGACTCAATGAAAGCTAGAGCCTTTGAGATCGCTGTGTTCAATTTTTTTTTTACAAACAGGGAAACTGAGTCCCAGAGAGATTAAGTGACTTGAGCATCCAGGACTCTGTTGCTGCACTGTTGTTCTAGTACCCCTGACAATCATAGCACTTCCTTCTATGACTTCACAGTTCTACAGCTTGAAAGGGCCCTTGAGGCCTTCATTTTATAGAGGAAAAAGCTGGGATCCAGAGAGGTTGTGTGCCTTACGCAAGGACACATTTATAGTAACTAACAGTGCTTCTGACTCTCAGTCCAGGAGTGGCTTTGGACCTTCACTCTTCAGACTGCATCTACTTCTATCCCATGGCTCTCACCAATACACAAAATATTGATGAGAGCACCATGGGCAAACTGATAGGGCCAGAATGATGGAAAATGGCCAAAGCTATTCATGAGCAAGTGAAAAGAGGGGCCTTTAAAATAAAAGAGAAAGAATACTGGGTTGGGTATCAGCCAACAGCTGAGCAGAACCTCCTTTAAATTCTAGATATGGGTTTTTTTTTTAAATATTTCTGTCAGAGACCCTAAAACTAGGACAGGGTTTTTAAAAAATACCCCCTCCTATTAACAAGCATCTATCTGCCCCTTCTCTTTCCCACCTCTTCTTCCTATTCCCCACACTGACCCTGCAACAAACACAAATGGACAAGCAAAGCACACCCCCATGTTGGCCATGGCCAAAAATGCTTGTCTATCTCACACTGTCTCTCTGGTTGATCACCTCTCTCTCAGGAGGTAGGCAATATTCAAAGTCGTCAATCCTTTGGAATAATGGGTTGATCAGACTTAATTCTTTCAAAATTATTAGCTTTTACAATGGTGTTATTATAGTATAAATCAGGGGTCGGAAACCTGCAGCCTTAAGGTCACGTGTGGCCCTCTAGGCCCTCAAGTTCAGCTCTTGATTGAATTCAAACTTCACAGAACAAATCCCCTTAATAAAAATATTTGTTCTATAAAACTTGGACTCAGTCAAAAGGCCACACCCAAGGACCTAGTAGGCCACAAGATTCCCCACCTGTGAACTAGGAAATCCCAAATTGTTGAATTATTTGGACAGCCCTCTCAATTTTCCACTTTGCTTTGGAAGAGGGGGCCACCAGTAATTCTCCCTTCCTGCCCTCTCTGTAAGAATAATCACACAAAGTAGAGAAGCCCGTGTGGGAACTGAGTGGATGAAATGGCGCATAGGCCCCAACTTGAAGGATATAGTATTGTCCAACTGTGTCTACAGACAAAGCCAGGTGGAGGGTGAGTTTCGGCTTGAAATACCTGGAGATTTTTGCCTAAATTATCTAGATAATTGCTTCAACCTTCTACTTCAATTTATTTCCTGAGAAACTGCCTAAAGCAGGTCTTAAATCCCTACTTAAAACTTTTTTTCCCTCTATCATCACTTACCAAGTTTACACATGAAATTTTCACACCTATTAATTATGTCAGTTTTAATTAGTTACAAATCTGTATGGATTTAAGCTGGATACATTTATGAAGCGCTTCCCTTTTAGACCCCCGAGACCTTGACTGTTCAATTAGAACTTTATCAGTCTGTCATCACCACCCCCTCCCTATTATGTTGGCTTCATTTCTACTCTTCTGATCTCAACTTAGCATTGGAATTGATATGTAAAAATCGAAACTAGGAAAACAGGTAAACTCAACTAATTATTCACACTAGGAATGGATTTTTCATTTCTGCGAAAAGATTCCAAGGAAAAGCCCTGGAAATAGTAAACTACTGTGGCTCACACAAGCCATGATTCAATTTGTACAAGTGTGATTTACAGACCTATAGGAAACATATTTATTGCCATAAAGCAAGGCACATCTGTTGAATGTCATCAATCTCTGAGAATATCGAATGGCTTTGGGGAAAAAACTCAACAACACTATTCTTATCCAATAGGGAGAGGGCAGCCTTGCCGATCCTTATTGTCTGAAAAGAAAACAGAAGCCAAAACAAGGGAGCGAGTGGACAGTGAGATAGAACGTTTGACTTAAATTAGAAGGATGAATGCTTTAATTATCCATTTTGCTTTGTTAATGGAGAGCTGACTCCCTAAGTGGCAGAACAGGATTAGGAATTTGAGGTTTCCTGAATGATAATCTGAAAAAAAAATTATGAAACCTTATAACAAAATCGTCATGTGCTAATTTAAAATTCACAACATGCCCTATCCAGTGTCAAAAAGTGATTAGGTGAGGGTGAAAAAGACAATCCATTACCTAAGGTCTTTAATACTCAGACTGCAAACTAAACTTTAGATAAAAAGGATGGTGTACAGGGGAAAATATGCTTCTACATTTCACCTCTTTGTTTTTACTAACAGGGAAGTAAAAGAATATTTGCTTCTCAAAAGCCAAGAGAGTTATGTCTTTAAAGTATCTGCAAGGAAAATCCAGGTTCAAAGCAAAGTTTTTCATGAGGGATTTAGTACAACGATACTCAATTGATTGTCATTAGCTATAAATTAGTTATTTCAGAAGGGCATTAATTCTACTGAGTCACTCAAGGCCTGATTGGTAATTTATTACCCTTGTACACTGAAGGGTGCCATTTGGATAAAAGAATTAGCTCACAAGGTACGAGATCTTTCTGAAAATTTCCTTTTAAAGAAATATACATTTTATTGATTAAATATTTATTGAATTCTTATCTGTGAGGCAGCAAGGCGCTACACAGAATACCAAAATTAGCTTCTTCCCTCAAGGAGCTTACTCTCTGCTAGGAAGCTAAAGCATGTATTCAAATAATGACAATAAGAAATCTCTGCTAAAAGCTATAAGAGCAATATGAAAAGGAAGCACTACTTAAACTCAGAAAACAGCTCATTTTATCCTGGAATGATCAAGGAACTTGAGGAACAGGTTATGATTTATCAACTAAAGAAAACTTAATAAAGACATAGATAAAAATGGATGCAAGCTCAAATAATCAAACAAACAACAGTATGACAAGTTCTTTTTTTTTTTTTTTTGGCAAGGCAATTGGGGTTAAGTGACTTGCCCACAGTCACACAGCTAGTTAGCCAGATTTGAATTCAGATCCTCCTGACTCCAGGGCTGGTGAGCTATTCACCGCGCCACCTAGCTGCCCCTAACAAGTTCTTCTAAGGATAATGAGAAGAAGACATAATCACAGTATTCATTAAAATAATGTAATCAAAGTTAAGATGCTAAAAAAGTGCTTTAGTTACCAAGGAAACAAACCAAGGCAGGGATAGTACACCTATGTGAGGTGCTTAAGATAACAAGAGATCAGAAGGAAGGTGAAACCTTCAAAAAACTAATCATGTATTAGAGCATTAAAAACCTCATGAGTCAATACAGAAATATACCAAGCAAAATGTAATAAAAAATTACATTCAATAAAGGGCCTTTGAAGTAAAGATTAAAAATTAGAAACTAAATCGATCACTGTTGGTGAAGCTGTGAATTGGTCCAGCCATACTAGAAAGCATTTTGGAACTGTGTTATTAAAGTGTGGATACCCTTTGACCCAATGAAACCACTACTAGGTCTGTTACCACCATCCCCCTCCCAAGAGATAAAAATTGAGGAAAAGGAGCCATATGTACAAAAATATTTACAGCAGCTTTTTGTGATGGCAAAGAAAGGGAAGCTGGAGGGGTATCTCATCAATTGGGCAATGAATTAGCAAGTTATGACATATGAACATGATGGAATACTATTGTTCTATAAGAAATTAAGGAAATGATTCCAGAGAAACCTTGAAAGACTTGCATGAACTTACACAAAGTGAAAGGAACAGAACCAAGAGAACAATTCATATAATGAAAACAATATTAAGACAAACAACTTTGAAAGACACAAGAATTCTGATCAACACAATGACCAATGATAACCCCCAGAGGACTAGTGAGGAAATTCTGATAATCATCTCCAAATAAAGAGGTGCAGATTGAAGCATATTTCTCAACGAATGGGGGAAGAGAGTTTGGAGGGAAAAAATTTAGAACTGAAAATAAAATTGAATTGAAAAAATCTTTAAAAGAAAGATGCAACTGTAGAATTCCTATGTTAATTCTACTTTTCCACCATTGAAAATGGACTTTGTACTGGGAAGGATAAAAACAAAAATGCTTATAAGAGATTCAAAAGGCAAAAGATCACAATGGTAAGCTGACCTGGAAGAGTTCCAGTCACTGAGTCCACTTCCATTCTATCTGTGAGCACTGAAACAACTTAGAGATGTGATTACTGAATAGCTACTGGTGATTTCTGAGGAACAAGTGTGGGTAGAAGAGGTGCCACTAGCTGGGAGATGGGTACATGTTGCAATCAAAAAAAAAAAAAAGTAGATACTTCAAACTACCTGAACCTGACATTGATTTCTGGTTAATAATAAAATTCTAGAACAGATAGAGATGATTCATCATCACTTAACAAAGGAAGAGGTAACCACTAAAAACCAACCAGAATTCATTTAAAACAAGTCTCACTAGACAGGCAGACCAGGGAGAGGCCACAGACATAGTCTAGATTTTAGTAAGGCATTCTGACAATCTCTCATGGTAAGGTTTGGACTTGATGAAACTACAGTTAGGTAGGTTTGGAACTAGCTTACTGGTAGGACACAAATAATGCTGATCAATGGCCAACTGGAGAGAGGTTTCTGGGTAGTGTCACAGAATGGTTCTACCCTTAGCTTTGTTCTCAACATTTTTACAATGACTTAGATGAAGGCACAAATAATAGGCTAATGAAATCTAAGTCAGGCACAATGCTGGAAAGGACAGTTAACACATTGGCTGATAGAATATAGATATAAAAATATCAGCAGGCCAGACCAGTGGGCTACAGCTAACAGGATGAAATTTAATTAGAAAAATAAACATCAAATATTTCTGCCCAAGACAGTTTCTAGGCTCTTTTAGTCTCTTCATTGTGGTAAGTGACTTACGTTGATTAAACTTCCTTTGGAAATGGTTATAGTCTGTGTCAAAGTCTATTCTTTTATCCGTTTCTCATTATGTGAAGTTAACAGCTTGTTTAAATAGGTCAGGAAGGAGATACCTCAAATATATGCTATATCACCTTACTTTGTATTCTTTCATCTATTTTAGTATTGATTTTGACCTTTGCCCTTAGAAGCTGGTGATCTTATTATACGTAGAAAATTCAGGAATCTGAATCAAACTGAACTAGCCATTTTCATCTGCTAAAATGTGATTTTATTTAGTGTTTGCCTGGTTCTATGAATCCTCTTTTCTGAAGAACTTTCTCTCTCCAAAGTTTTCAGTGATCTCTGGTTTGCTAAATGTGATGGCCTCTCTTATCCTTAACCCTCTACTACATCAGCTAGAGTAGACCACTCTCTCCTTTTGAATACTCCACACCGAATTTTCATGACACGGTTTTCTCTAGATTCTCCTATCTGTCTGCCCATGCCTTCTCAGCCTTCTTTGCTAGTTTATCCATATCACACCTTTTAACTGTAGGGGGACCCCTCTCCCCAAGATTCTATCCTAGGTTCTCCATCTCTCTCCTATCAGCTCACATAGGTTTTAATTACCAAGTCTAAGCAGATAACCTCCAGGTCTATAAATATAGTCCTAGGTTATGCCTAAAGCTCCATTTTCACATATTCAGTTGCCTATTGGAAGCATAAAAGTTAAACTATCTCCCACAGACATCTCGAACTCAACATGTCTAAAACCGAACTCATTTTTTCCCCCAAACCCACCTTTCTTCTACTTCCTTATTTCTGTCTAGGGCACCACCATCTGTCCAGTCACCCAAGCTCACAATCTCATGTATGCCTGACTTCTCATTCTTGCATATCCCACACATCAAACAGCTGCCGAATCCTATTACTTCTACCTCCGCAACACAGCTCACCTTATCCCCTATTCTCCACTCAAATAACCTCCATGCTAGTCCAGGCCCTTATTTCTCATCTGGACTATTTAGTGCAAATACTTGTAATTATTCTCTCAAGTGCTGTAAGTCTGCCCTACTTCAGTCTATCCTGCACACTGATTTTCCTAAAACACAGCCTGGCCATGTCACTGTCCCACTCAATTAACTCCAGGGGCTTCCTATAACTTCCAGGTTTAAATATAAAGCTCTGGGTTTGGCATTTGAAGCTCTTCAAGATTTCGTCCAATCTACCATTCCGCTTTTATTAAACATTATGTCCATATGCATTATAATATAGCCAAACTGGTCGTCTTACTGTTTCTTGTATATTTGCCTCTGTGAGAGTGCTACCTCTGCCTGAAATGCTCTTTTTTCTCACCTCTGCCTTGTTTCCTTCCAGGCTCAGCTAGGGTACCATTGTAGCCCTTCCTGATGCCCCCAGGTACTAGTGCCTTCTTCCCAGAATTATCCTGTCCTTATTTTATATACTCCTCTGCTAGTGTGGTCTTCCCCAGATGGTGTAAACACTCCAGGGCATGAAATGTCTCACTGTTGTCTTTATCATCAGCCCCAGCACAGTGCATGTATATGCAGTAGGTGCCTAACAAATGAAATGCCTGCTGGGTCATTCTCAAAGCCAGTATTTAAGATATGAAAGTAAGAGGCTTTGGTATAGTCTACAAGCCTTTGGCCTTTCTCATTTCTTACTCCTGAACCATGATTTCTAATGTATTTGGGGCCATTCTTTCCCCATGCTCACTTTTGCACTAAAGTCTGCACTAAAGTTTTTAAAATTTATTTTATTTTTAATTTATGGAATAAAACAAGCATTTCCATAACACAGTATACAAAATGGTTTACACTGCAAATCTACTATGTACAAGCTGCTATTCTTTTTAAATATATAAACGTTATCATGTAATTTTTTTTTCTTTTTTCTTCCCCCTCACCACTTTGGCTACTATTAAGACACAAATAGATATACATATATATATACATATATATATATGTAAAATTATTCTATACATACTTCTAGTTATCAGTTCTTATTCTGGATGCAGATAGTGTCTTTTTTCACATGTCCTTTGTAGTTAATTTGGTTATTTATAATAGTCAAAATGACTTATTTGCTCAAAGTCATTCTTACAGTATTGCTGTTACTGTATACAACATTCTCCTGGTTCTCTTCATTATTTCATACAAATCTTTCCCATGTTTTTCTAAGATCATTGAGCTCATCATTTCTTATATCACAGTAGTATTCTGTATACCACAACTTGTTCAGCCATTCCCCAACTGATGGGCATCTCTGTAATTTCCATTTCTTTGCCACCACAAAGAGCTGCTATAAACATTTTAGAACATATAAGTTCTTTTCCTTTTTCCCTAATCACCTTTGGAAGCAGACCTAGAAGTGGTATTTCTGGGTCAAAAGGTATAGGCAGTTTAATAAATAACTCTTTGGGCATAATTCCAGATTGCTCTCCAAAATGGTTGGATCAGTTCACAATTCCACCAACAATGAACTAGTGTCTCAATTTTTCCACATCCCCTCTAACATTTGTCGCTTTTCCTTTCAATCATTTTAGCCAATCTGGTAGGTGTAAAATGATACCTCAAGGTTGTTTCAATTTGAATTTACCAGTCAGTAATGATTTAGAGCATTTTTTCATATGACTATAAATTGTTCTAATTTCTTCATTGGAAAACTGCCTGTTCATATCCTTTGACCATTCATCAGCTGGGGAATGACCCATACTCTTATAGATTTGACAAAGTTCTTTACACGAGATGAGAACTCTGAGAAACTATATAAATTTTTCCCCCAGTTTTCTGCTTTCCCTTCTGATCCCAGATACAAGTTTTATTTGTACAAAAACTCCTTTATGTAATGGAAAATTATCCACTTTATACCTAACTTTGCTGGCTATCTCTTGTTTATTCATAAATTATTTGCCTACCCGTAAGTCTGATAAGTAATATATTCCATGTTCTTCTAATTTTCCTGTAATATCTTTCTTTATATTTAGGTCATGTATCCCTTTTCACTTTATCTTGGTAAATGGTATAAGATATTGGTCTGTGCACAGTTTCTGCCACCCTGCTTTCCAGTTTTTCCAATGATGTTGATCTAATTAGTAGGGTCTTGTTACGTTCATTCTCTGAACCAAATGTCAGTGCGTAATAGACAATTATTTTCACAATGGTCTTGCTCAATAGCAAATGCTCATCTCACGCACTGCAATGGAAGATGAACAAATGTTTCAAAAAGTTGTGTTTCTATGTGCTTATCCATACAATAAAACCAACTCTTATTTGCCTCTTCAAGAGAAACCTGTGAGTCACTCATGCATTGAATGGCAAATTGTGAACTGGTTTCACATCAAGTGAAAAGGTCAAGATTTGTATGACTCACTTCCTCTGGGAATAAGTCCAATGGTTGGACACTGATAAGGATCTCTCATGAATTCAGGGGATGGTTTATGAACGCTCAGAAAGGGAGGTGATCTCAGAAAGGGAGGATGGTCTAAAAATGGTGACTTGTTTTGCTCTGCTCCCAAAAGTGGAGGAGGGGAGGGATGTGGCTACATAGAGCCATTTAAAACGTTTCTTTATGGTCGTCGGGCCCAACAATTCATCACCAAGTGGCCACACTAATTGGGAAGAGTACCTCTGAACTTAGCTAGGTTGGTCCTCAAAAACAAGATGGAGTCTGCTGCTGGGACCACTTTTCAAGCCTTTCTGACAGATGTTAGTACCTGCTGGAGCTGGTACTCCCCTGGCTAGGACTAGGGTCATACCTCTATGCTACCACGAGGCACAATGTGGCATCTAAGTAGAAAAAACACACTTGTCCTGAAATATAAAAGGCTACAATTCAGGATAAAGAATTGTCTATCTCCGGGCTGCAGGGTGGTGCAATAGGCTTGAAACAGCAAATGTTTCAAATTCTGCCTCGGACACTTCCCAGCTATGAGACTCTAGACCAGCCACTGAGCCTCAGTTTTCTCGTCTTCCAAATGGGGATATTAATAGTATATACTTTGCAGGGCTGCTGTGAGGATTAAATGAAATTTGTAAAACACTTTGCAAACCTTAATGTACCATCTACATGCTGGCAATTATTAGGATCCCTAGAGGTCTTTAGGCAGAGTTTGGGGGACTCTGGGAAAACAACATGAACAGGGTCCATGACTGGAGTAGGGGGTTTGACTAAATGGCTCCTTCCAAGTCTGCCTGTGATTCTGTGACTTGGCAAAGAGGGCGGGTGGACCACGCAAACAAGAGAATTAGCAACAAGCCCGGCAGAGGACAAAACCAGACATCCACGTGTATGGTAATGGAAAGCAGGGCTGAAAAGATAGGCCTGAACTGGGGGACGGTTGGCTCGGAGGACCAGGCTCAGGAGTGTGACCCTGTAAGACCTCAGCAAGTTGAGTGGGAAAGCAATGGGACATTGCCACATATCACATACCTGATAGCGCAATCTTTCCTTTACAAGCAGTCCATTCTTTAGTTTTGGAATCCCCACATCTGTCAAAAGAAAAGGGTGACTGAATTATTACACTCCTCACTTACCAAATGACACAATAGTGAACTGAAAAACAAAGTTTCATTGACTTCCCAAGTATATAACTTACTACCAGGAGGTAAATCACCCTGACCAGATTATATATCTTGTATGGGCAGGATTGTTTGCATACTGTCCCCCCCTCCGTCAGAATAGAAGCTCCTTGAGGGCAGGACCATGATTTTGCCTTTCTTTGTATCCTCAAGACTTAGCACGGTGCCTCATACATAGTAAGGTCTTAAATGCTTGCTGATGCGCTGTAAAATTTATGCATATTATGTGTGTATGTATAAATATGTCTATATAAACATTTATATTGTTTACAAAGCCCTTCCATCACAACAAGACGGTGAAGGAGACAGTGCAGGTATTATTGTATATAATCTAAATTATTGTACAATTGCATCATTAGATATAATCGTATAATTATCTTCATATATTTTTTATTATATTATATTCAGAGATGAGGAAATTGAGACTCAGGCAGGTGATGTGACCTGCCCATGGCTACAAAGAAAGTGTCAAACCCAGATATCCTGCTGCTTCACTGAAATATGCCACATTGATCTGGTCGGCTATTTAGAAATGAATTCAGGGGATGGTTTATGAACGCTCAGAAAGGGAGGTGATCATTAGGAGCCAACATGGGCTCACTTAGAACAAGACATAGCAGACTAGCGGATCAGTTTATGATAGATATATAATCATGCACACATCACTATGTGCATATATTATATACACATACTTCCCAAGTACAAAGCACGTACTAAAATAAGTTGAGGACTACATGAAGATATGAAGAGATGGGAAGCAAGGACTCTTACCTTGGGGCAGCACTAAATAACGTTTCTCAGGATAAACATCTAATCCTTTCTCTGCACATCCCTGACATGCTATGTCCTAAAAACCTCCAATATTTTGTCTTCTCTAACTCCTCTGGGTCAATTCTCAAATTTGTGGTGAAATGAGATTTTTTTTGAAAATGTGTATTTATGTAAGTCTTATCTGATTTTAAATAAAGGCTTTGGGGGAAAGATGGGGTCCGTGCTTAAAGGAAGAAGTCATCTCATTTATTTTCCACAGTTTAAAAATCATCTTCACTTTTCAATAGGACTGCCGAGAGAACTGTTGTTGGGAACCAACGGCCCAGCTTGCTTTATATATCTAATTAAAAGAATATACATTAACCTCCCACTTTTATCTCTCACTTCAAATACTTGGGCACACAAATACTTTGGTAAATTATTTTAGTTCATTAGGAACCCTTTCTGTTACCTGGGATACTTGAGTTGATAAGTGACATGGGAGATTTAAAAAGACACAAATCAGAATTAGAATTGCCTAGAATGAGGTGGCCTAGATGAGCTGAAATCAACAGTGGTAGAGGGTGTATCTGAGCCCGGAGACCCCAGGTCCACACATATGCAAACCCTCGCCCAAACTAGACTATAAAATAATGAGACTAATTCCGCAAGCCAGTCATCAGCCTTATTGCTTTATTATCAAATCTCAGATAAAATACATTTTATAGTACATAAAAGGAAATTCATTTTCCTTTGAAATAAAATTACCATTCATAAATTCAAACTCCTATCTTTTCCGACATATAAATGAGATTTCTTTCAAATTTCTGCAATAATAAGCAATGAGTAATATAATCCATCAAAATATGAATTTCACTGGAGATAACGGGAAGGCCTAATAAGCCAGGTAATTTAAACATCTGAGTAGATGCAATGGAAGGGTTTGTGAATTATTCTAAAGTTGAAATCCATTAAACCTAATTAAGGATGGCATCTAGATGAATATGGTATGCTCAGGTAGGTAAAGTTCAGATATTTGTTCCCTGAAGTAAACAACGGACATTACCTGCTCCTAGTTTCTTTCTCATTTCTCCTCCATTCTCTTCATCATCATGGCAGCAGAAAATAAGTTTTCTATCCTACTTTCCACCTATGTCTACCCAAATTTTCAAATACAGACATTTCAACTTATTGAATAAAAAATGTAACAAATGCCTTGGTGGGTATTGAATTCACTGTAAAATCTCACAAAAGAAACAAATTTAGTTGTCATTTTTTTTTTTAAATCACTAAGACAAATGAATCATAAAATCATAGTTAGAAGGGTCTTCAATGTCAACTGACCTAACTCCCATTTGAAGCACTAATTGCCCAATGAATGCTCCATTGCTTCTCTGGATTGAAGGTCAACAATGTTGATGTCATTAGAGACCACAGAAAACTACAATATTTTACTGTATTAGTCAGAGGCAAAAATTTGCAGCCCACCCAGCCTTCCATAGCTTCTACACGTTTGTCCTAGAGCTCTAAGCTCTGGAGCCAAGAATAAACTGACTCCCCCGTCCAATGTGAATGAATATTTTCCAAAGATAGGCACTTACAACCATGTCCCCGGTAAGTCTTCTCCCTAATTTCTTCACCTCGTACTCTACTAAACCATGGGAGGTAATTTCTTTTACACATAATACCTCACACTCTTGCTCTAGAGATTAAGAAAAAAATTTTTTTTTAATTTGGTACCTATTAAGCTTTACAAACTTAAACTTAAACTTTAAAAACTTAAAACCATGGTTTTAAGTCCTTCCTCCATCCTGACTGATCATCTCCTTCTGGACATACTCTGTCTATGTCCTTCTAAAAATTAATGCACAGAACCTAGTAAGAGAACCCAGATGGGGTCAGAGTGAGGCAGGCAGCATACCGGGGAACCAGCTCCTCTCTCATTCTAGGGGGGAACCCTCCATGACCACAAACTAAGGAGGCACTTACTGGTTTTGGCTCACCCTGAGGGTGCAATCTATTCATTTCAATCCAATGCCTGGTGCCTCTGGCCTTGAAGGTGAAAAACAGCAGCCTCTATCCTTAAGGAACTTTCAAAATCAGACAGGGATGAGCCATGAATACAAATAATTATAACATGAATATGAATGTTAATTAAGCCACAAGTTAGTGAAAAGCATTGAGCAAGTAGGCAAGGATTCCCTGAAGCTGGGCAGATCAAAAGACCTAATACAAGGGGTGTACCTGACTGAGCTGGCCCTTGAGGGCAAAGGAGAATTTCAACAGGTAGTTTCTAAGGGAATGAATTTCAGACCTGGAAGGATGCAGAGGCAAGAGAGGACAAGATGAGATCAAAAAGCCTCTTTCTCAGGGTCATTTGTCTGGAAGCGGCCTTAAAGTGTTGTGAAATGAATTGGGCAGGGCATTGAACGCCACCTTAAGTATGTTATTGATCATCTGAGCAAACACTGTGCAGCTCCTGATGGTTTTAGAGCCAGGTAATTCATCAAATGTCTCCATGAGGAAGACAGTGCCATGAGGGACAGAATAGAGGAATGAGAGAGAAGTAACTGAGCACTTAAGTCAGAAAGAACTTTGATTAACTCAATGAGCGTTCACAATTCCAGAGAATCAACGATGAAGAATGTTATCCTCCGACAGAGAGGTGAGGGACATAAGGTGTACGATAAGACATCCAATTTTAGACTTAGACATAAATATTGAGAGCACATTTGGTTTAATTATGGATGTTTGTTACAAAGTTTTAAATTTCAGTTTTTAACAGGGGAGTTGGAAGAGGAAATTTATGCTTGCTAATTTAGAAAATAAAATTAATAAAAAGTGCTATAAAGCAATTTTTAAAAAAGGTTTTCTTTAGGTCAGGCTAACTCTGCCTTTGCAGTCTCAACTCAATGATGCTGGTTCTGCCAGGCAAAGCCAGTCTGATTGTCTTTCCGTATCATATCTTCAAGTATCTGAAAACTGCGTTTGTTCCTCCTCTCCACCACCGCCCTCCCCCTCCCCAAGATCTCTTCTCTTCTCCAGGCTACCCATGCCAAGCTCCTACCAGCTCTCACGGGGCACGGTCTCCTGTGCCCTCCCCATGCTGTTAGACAATCAGACCTCCCTCATTCTGGACAGTATCCTTGTCTCAGTGAAGCCTAAACTCACCTTCATTTTTAGATATCATCCACTAAAACCCCCGATTCACCCTGCACTTATGACCTTATTTTGGTTTCTGTTAAATTTCATCTTATTAGATTACCATCAGCATTCTCGCCTCCTGAGATCTTTGGATTTTGGCTGTCATACAGTGTATTAGCTTTCCTCGCTATCTCTGTGTCATCTGTAAATTTGATAAGCAAAGTATCTCTGCCCTCATCCCAGAGAAAAGAAAAATGAAAAGCAGAAACATAGATCCCTGGGGCAATCCACAAGAGACTTTTCTCCAAGTTAAACAACATATAACCTATGCGTTGAGTCCATACATTCAACACATAACTGTCCTTCTATCTAGCCTATCAAATGCTTTGCAAAAATCTAAATGTTATGTCTACGGCATTCCCTTGATTTATCAATCTAGGAAAATGGAATTTAAGTCAGAATGAAATGACCTGCCCTTGATGAAGCCACACTGAGTATCAGTAATCACTACTTCCCTTTCTAAATGTTCACAAACCAAGAATTACGCCAAGAATCAAACTTACTAGTCTCTAGTTGAACTGTCCTCCCTTTCAGTTTTTTGGGTTTTGTTTTTTTGTTTTTTTCAAAAAAACTTTGATAGAATTCTATGAATCCTGATTGAAATAATCAGGTGGCTTGGGATGCTTTTTTATTTAATATGATTAATTATGTTGACTCTTTCCCTATTGTTAAATCAGAGGTTTCCAAACCTGTTTTTTGGCCTACTGCCTCCTTTTCAAACTAAAAAAAAAAAAAAATTACTCAGTGTTCCCCTGGAAATCTACTTTCTTTAACCTCTAATGACTCTTTTTGAAATGTGTCATTTCAAAAAAATATTTTTTTAAAAAATGACATCTAAAATTTGATAATCTACAGTAAATTTGTATTTTTCCTGCATTGAAATTTTGATGATGCAATATTGTGTCATGTAACTGTATAGTATTGTATTATAAACAAGTCATTACACATCCATATTC